ATGATGATGATGATGATAGATATAGTTCGGTGGTTCATTCACATACTAGTTTTTGGCCAATGTAACTAACCTAAACGAATTTGGAACCAAACATTTGTTATTTTTATTTTGTTCATGTATACAAGTGTCATAACTTATATTTGGTTTTCCTACAATTTGACATTTTATAACTACGTTGCGCTGTTTTTGTTTATGGAATAGATATGGCCTGTTTAAAGTTTTAATTAAGAATAGGCAAAAAGACCAAATACTTTCTAAGTAGGTATTTAAAAAAATGTAGATATTATTTATTTAAACATTCGATTTCGATTCCATTTTTAACCTGAGAAGCGATAGAGTTGGCGGTACTTTCGTTAGCATTATTTAATTGTTCATCCTAATTAACGATTATATTTTGGATATCTTTAAAAAAATACTCGATTTTTTTGTAAAATAGTTTACATAAGAGGTATTTAAGTATTTATACATAAAAAGAGATAGTGTTTCTTTTATAAAGTGCTGCAATGTTCGGGGCGTTTCGCCTGAACCGGTCGTTGGTATCGATCAATGCGGCACTGGGTTTGTTCAACTCGCCCGCCCTACCCAGACGTATCTACCACCACTCATTGAATTACAGACACCGAGAACTCGATGTTTATTACTTTCTCTCGTACCTACCCGTCTTTAGATACGTTACATGTGCCAATTTGGGTATAATGTTCGTGATTACAGAACATTTTATTTACATACAAAGCGTGTGTCAAGACTTAGTGTTTCTGTAGGAATCTTCTATTTACTAAAGTATATATCAAGTGTAGTTCATTAGTTTCAATGTAAGACATTTCAGGGAAGATAAAAAAGCGAGAAAATATGGAATATATAGTACTCAGAAAATATACATAAAATTTATATAGGTAACTACAAGTGACCCGCCCTGCTGTCGCACGGGTGCGATATGCATGTATTACCCATATAACCTTCCTTAAGAATCACTGTATCGATAAAAAAATCGCATCAAAATTCGTTGCGTAGTTTTAAAGATCTAAGCATACATAGGGACAGACAAACGACAGATTTGTTTTACTATGTAGTGATATACTTATTAGACAAAGATTTTCCTATCGAGTATAGTTGTCTTTATACTATATACATAGCTATTATGTATTGTTGTATCATTGTATGGCATAATAGTGCGGCTGTCTGACATAAAGGTAGGGCGACCAAGCGATGACCTTACATGCCCTATAGCTTCTTCCTGATTAGTTGATCTCTTCAAGTACGTTTTTTTTGTCAACAGTTCAACTTCGTACTTGTTTATTGATTACAAAGAGGTAGACAGATTTGTAAGTATTTTGTACATATATGCCTAAAACGTTTTTGGTTATGTTCTGACCTATAACAATTTACCTGCCCTTTATCAATATTGAAACATAGAATATTTCCGGGTTGAAATCCCATTAATATATAATTATATTATGTTTATATTCTGTTTGTTTTTTGTGTAATAATTCAGTATAAAACTATCCATCTTCTATCGGTCTCAAAAAACGATCTCCGGCCACCATAAGCGCGGTCCTGCGGACGGCGAGCATGGGTGGCTCGCTGCCCGACCAGAACCAGACCCGAGCGTACGGCGCGTCGCGTTCCACGCGCGCCTCAAAAGCCATCAGACTATCACGGAGGGGTCCAATAGGGCTGATGCCGATTCGGAGTCGCGGAAAACCTAACGGGTTACTGGGGCTCCGGCTCGAAGTGCAGGAGTAGGAACGGGGTGGTTTTTAGCCAGTAAGAGTCTAACACTCCGTCCCGCCTCACCCAGGCGGGGAGGAGTCATTAGATGATATTCCCCCCTTAAAAAAAATGGTCTAAAAAATGTTTAGTTCAAATGAATTTATGCATCTTTTTACAGTTCGTCTACAGTCGTGTCTACAGGTCACTTTTTGACAAGTGTTTTTTTAATAATATATTTTTTATTTAACGTATGTTGGTACTATATATATCTATGTATTAATCGTATTATATTAACCCGTGGTATAGATCTACACGAGACAGAATCTATATTCTATTGTGTCTCATATACCGGCACTCAAGATGTAAATAAGGTGAAGTAAAATAATAAGTATAATATTTTTGTATAACAAATCTATTTATGTAACAAAAAATGAAATTATATTCTACATTTTTTAAATTAAGAATAGTTTATTTATAATATAATGAATGATTTGCGAATGAGCAATGACTATTATACATTTAACAAATGACTGGAACTGTGACCGATGGTTGTTGATAGGCCCTCATAAGTCTTTAACATTTAAATAAATAACATTAATGGTGATAATGGCCATATATGATATAAACTAATTCTTTTAGATCAAAATGTGTGCGATATTCTATGTACCAGTAGCCAGCAGGTTTGCCTACTCCGTTCTATCAAATATCTTTATTAGATTTCAACTGTATTACTTTATATATATAGTCGAAAAACCAGTGAAAAAATTGACAAACTGGTGTAAGTTAACTTGCTGGCCTGCTGTAATAATTTATGACAATGTCAACAGTTTGAAAGTCTTCAAGCCTTCAACTTTCTAGGAACAATATTTAAACGAATTCCTCCTTTGGGTCCGATAATAGTACGGCAGGGTTCAAATTCCAACTTCCTTGCAGTATTCTTTGATGGCTCCACTTGGAACTTGGACAGAAACTTGACTATGCATAATTGTGACTGGAGTTTGCCAAACCTCAATCCTGAAAATAAATATAAGTAAAATTAGTGCCGTGTACATAGTGTAGTAAATTAGTGTCTACTTTCATTATTATCCACAACATAGGAGAAACTCATATAATGTGGACATAAAAAACTCTTTTCAAAATGGGAAGGATCCGAGACTTTACAATATTATTATATATATATATATATATATTTTAATTATTTATTATATATATATATATATTAATTATATATATATATATTTAATTAAATAAATTTTAAATATTAGCATCTAGTGCATATATTATCTACCTACTACTTTTTGAGTATAACGGTGTGGGTTTGAAACCTGCTTTTTAAGTTTTATATAGTTTATATTATGTAGTATCTTTTAGATACCACTGACAAAACGTAATGAAGAACCCCAGACTTATCAACCCTTTATAATAATTATATTTTTTGATAACTTAGTTTGTATGTTGTAATCAATGTTCATAATTATGGAAAGATACATTTGTCCATTATGGAACAGTTTGCCTAAAGATTCGTTAATGCATTAGTAAGGCACATCTCATAATATTTTTTAAGAAGAAGTTTCAAACAAACGTCACTGTATCAACAAATAGAATTATTATGTAACGGTTCTGTAAATATTGTATACAGATTAAAATGTTATATAACTTACCGATGCAGTTTCGCTGTCCAAGTCCAAATGGCAAGTAAGCACACGGATGGCGCTTGCCCACATCCTCCGGGTAAAATCTGTCAGGGTTGAACTGTTCAGGGTTATCATAATATTTCTCATCGTAGTGTATGCCTCTTGGGGATATAAGTACAATGGTGTACTTTTCCAAAGTCAGGTTAGTACCGGGTACTTGGTAATCCCTTACCACTTTACTCTGAAGAGGTTCCACAATTGAGTACATTCGTAGAGTTTCATCAAATACTTTGTTTAGGTACTTCATTTCCTTAATAGACTCGTATGTTACTTGTCCATTATTTGCTTGTATAACATCGTCAATTTCTGCCCTTAACTTATTTTGAATATCTGGATTCATTGCTAGTTGGTAAAGCATGAACGTCATCGTAGTAGCACTGGTTTCATAGCCACCGGCATAAAATACAAATGCTTGTGCTGCCATCACCTCGGGTGTTATTTCCACAGGCTTCGCAGAGTCATGTTTTGCATTTGAGACTTCTCCAATTTCACGGAGTGCCAAGATAAGGTCCATGAAATCATGTCGACCTGATGGTTTACCATTTCTTTGCGCAATAACAGTTTTCACTAGATTGTCGAAGAACTTTTGTATGGATGAAGGGAATAAAGAAAGGTTGAGTGCTTTCAGGAGTCCTGGATACATCATATCCAACTCAAATGCATAACTTGGAGATGAAAATAATTTGTCGACAAGTTTCAGAGTCTCCAATTTATCATCAAGACTGTCATAACTAATACCAAATGCACAGGCAGAGATCGTGGACAAGGTGTATGTCTGGAGGAGAGGCTGGATATCAAATTCCTGTTTCTTTTGGCATTCAGTAATAAAGTACTCTATAAATGAATCACCTCCTTCGTTTAACAAGTAAAACATGTTATTCAATTTACCAGTTGTGAAAATGGGTGTGAATCTATTCCTCAAAGCTGTCCATGTTTCTCCATCAGCGTGGAATAAGTTTTGTCCCAATCCTTCTTTGCTGAATTCCACTCCACGATCACTAAACGCTTCAAAGTCTTTGATCATGACATGTTTGACTATGTCCAGGTCTCGGATAAGGAGACAAGGTGAAGTCATCCTGAACATACCGACCACTTTTTCATTTGGAAATGCTTTGTAGATGTCATGCATTACAATGCCAATATTTTTTGTGCGAACAACCGATTCCTTGATGTTTCCAAAAAATGCAGTTGGTTCTGGTCCGGGAACATTTCTACTCTTCCAATAGTTGAATGTCCTCGTAAAATAATAATAAATAGCGTAAGCTAACACTGGGACTGCTGCGAGGAAATATAAGGCCGACATGGTTGTGACTGGCCAAACACTCGGTCCGAACACTTATGAATGATTTGTAAATAACTCGACGATTTTATATACAAACCGAAAACTTGATTAGGATCACGCTATGATAGTTTGTTCGACTCCTCGTGTGTGTTATCTTAACAATTCTAAGTGAGTTGGTGTTTAGGCGGTGTAGGTACATACATAGTGTGGTATATATTTTAGTTTTGCATATCGATAATTTTTTACCGAATTTAAAAAAAGGAGGAGGTACTATGTTCGGCTGATTGTTAACTGATTTCCAAAATTCTTGTTTTGTTTGAAAGGGTACACTCCCGAGATAGTCACATTTGCATGAGGTCAGGAATTCAGGATCTGATGATGGGATCCCAGGGAAACCGAGGGGAACTTTCAAAAATTCTAGGGGCGAGTAATGCGTCTATTATGTTTTAAATTAGGATTTTTAAACACTATAATTTGATAAGGGTCTGGAGTCGACGTGATGATGGAACCGATAAACAGTCGAAAGAACTCTTTAGCGGTTTAGAGGTATGTTAAATACATTGTGTTTGGTCTTATTTAATTTGTATTGATGAGGAATTTGCACCTATATAGAGTGGGACTGTCATGAAGGGTCTGATGATAACCTGTAATTGTTAAGGGAACTGATCAACCGTATACAGTAACTACCTTGTGTTTGGGCTTGTATAATAAAGTATAACTTTGCACCTATGCAGATTATAAGAGACAAAACGGATATATGTAGCTTTACACTGAAAATAATAAAATAATAAAATAAAAACTGCGTTTAAAAAACCGACTTCAAAAAACCAAAAACTAATAACAAACAAAAAGTCAAAACTACAAAGAAAAAAATAACTATCATTAGTACTGATAGGTTACCCACCCACTGAGGTTAGAAGTCGGTGCCATAAACTCATATCATAATGATATAACTTAATGGCCATAAAATTGTAAATTAGGTATCTATTAAGGTTTGAATGAATAATTTTGTATAGAACTATAATTATATGTTACATTCACACAACTTATTGGGCTTAGCAGATAGAAACATTAGTACTAGTAGTCTAAATAAATTAGTTAGTTTTGAAAACAAAATTAATAACACTATACAAATTGATAAAGGTAATGTTAATTTCTAATTGGGCTTTCTGTAATATAACTTAAACGACGAAACACAACGCCAGCGTTGTCTGTGAGGCCGTGGTATTACTCCTGTAGAAGCATGGCTCTCCCACACTTAGACAGACAAAGATTCGCCCATACGTAAGCTAATGGAAATTTGAGTCTGAAATGTAAACAAATCTGACTGTGGTTGTTTCTGGGAAAAGTCTTGCTTGCTTACTTCAGATGACTCGGCGATCTTGGACATGATATAATTGGAAGAATATTTTTTATTTTTTATTTATTTATTTTGTTTATTTGGAAACTCAACAGCTTATTAATATAGTTTACATGAGTTGGGAATACACATCACACTATCAATGCACAGCCTTATGCAGTTACATGAAACAAAGAATATATAAAAGCTAGTAAAGTAAAGTCGACACACGCTGCACAGTGATAACGAGATGATGACAATTGTCACTTAAGCCAATTACAGAGTTTCACGACATTTGTAAGACTAGCTCAACCAGAAAGTAATGTAATGTAAGGGAAGATAAAAAGGTAACACAATACAATAATAAGATGCAATTATCACATCAGTGAACAAACATACAAAATATTACTATGTTGATACAAATCATTATTATGCTGACAACCCTAGTAAGTATGACTTAGATTATTAATCCAATAATTGAATACGCCTAGACTATTGAAATATTTATATATAAGTAACTATAATCAATTATTTACTAAGTGTTGAACTGGCTCATGGTATAATCTGCTTATCAAACAGAATCTGCTTTACTTGTTTACGGTATGACTGCTTGGACAGATGAAATATATCAACATTTTCAAAAAATTCAGAATACACGCGAGGCAGTCGGGTCATCACAGCGTTTCTCCCGTATTTTGTGCGGCAGCCAGGGATACTGAGCAATTTTGTATGTCTGGTACGCGTTTTAGGGGTGCAAAAACGTATACATGAAAGCAGATCACCGCTGTCCAAGCGACCTCGGAGGATATCAAAGAGAAAAAGCATATCCAACAACTTACGTCTATCCATAAGGGGAAGTATATCATAGTGTTTACAGTCTAGGGCATAAAAATCATGACGTCTACGGGATTTGAAATTGAGGATTTTTATAAACTTTTTTTGCAGATTTTCTATCCTTTTAATATATACCTCATATTGAGGTGACCAGATTGGGCTACAGTACTCCAAAATGCTACGGACATAAGCATAGTATAAAATCTTTAGAGTATGACAATTTCTAAATGGCTTACTAATACGTACTACGAAACCAAGGTTGCGAGACGCTCTGTTGATGATGGTGTCAATATGTTGGTCAAAAAGCAACTTAGAATCAAGCATTATACCAAGATCTCTGACTACATTGACCCTTTCGATCGCAATATGATTGAATCCATACGAATATCTAATTGGGAATTTGGAACGACTGAAGCTAATGCATTGACATTTAGAGACATTGACGGTGATATTATTTTGTTTATAATACCAGAATAGTGCATTAAGGTCTCGTTGTATTAGTTCACAATCAAGTCTGGATTTTACACACATGTATATCTTCATGTCATCTGCGTACATGAGATGTTTCGCGGATTTAAAACAAGTCTGAATGTCATACAGATAAGCACAGTAAAAAAGGGGACCCAATAAAGATCCCTGGGGCACACCGGAGGGGATATTTACGAAGTCAGACTTGAAACCCCCCATAACTACAGCTTGCGATCGTTTAGATAAATATGACTCAATCCATCTTAGTAAATCTCCATGGATTCCAAGCCTTTGTAGCTTTGCCAGTAAGATCACGTGATCCACACGATCGAATGCTTTTTCGAAATCCGTATAAATCACGTCCACCTGGCCACCGGCTTCCATATTATGCAATACGTAGTTACAAAACTCGGCTAAGTTAGATGCTGTGGATCGTCTCCTAATGAACCCGTGTTGATTCTGGCCTACACCGTTTGAAATGACCGTATATATACTATTATACACGATTTTCTCAAAAACTTTACTGATTGTATTAAGAATGGATATTGGTCGATAGTTTTTTATATCCATCTTGGAGCCCTTCTTATGTACAGGAACTATATAAGCTGTTTTCCATGAGGAGGGATAGGCACACTCGGCTAAAGATCTTTGAAATAAAATAGCTATAGGATGAGCTAAACTTTCCGAGCACTTGCTCAAAAAAATAGGAGGTAATCCATCATCACCAGCGCCCTTAGAAGTATCCAGCGCACGTAAGGCTTTAAGTACGGTGTCTTTAGTGACAACGAGGTTAGAAAGTACATTCGATGAGGTCACTTCATTAGGAGCACTCGTAACTGTAAAAGGGGTCGTAGAGGAGCTAGCAAAGACACTGTGAAAGTATTTATTAAATGCTGTACAAATGGCGCCACCAGAGTCAAGTGTATCCTCATTAAGCATCATTGTTTTGGGGTATTGACTACCGCCTCTTTTATTTTTTACATAGGTCCAAAAAGACTTCGGAGAATGACTAATGGCTTTCTCTGTCTGATTTATATAATTTTGAAAGGATGATGCCTCAGCAATATGTTGTCTAGAACGTAGTAATGTAAATTCATAGTAGTCATATGGGTTACCATATTTTTTCCACCTTTTATGCAGTATAGTTTTCTCACGAATGATTTTTATAAGTGCTCGACTGTACCATACGGGGTATTTGTGTTTATTATATTTTTTAACTAATGGTATGAAACGCTCCACACCAAGTTTAACTTCTAAGTAAAATGACTCAATAGCAACGTCGGTCGATTTTACAGATAGTTTATCATCCCAATTTATCCCTTTAAAATATTTATTCAATTCCTCATAGTCTCCCTTAAAATAATTACGACGTGGTACGCGCACTTCCTTGAGAGGCGCTGGGAATAATTCAGTCGCAGATACGACAAGAGCCGGATGATGAGAGTCCTCGTGTAACAGGGGATCGTCGCATCTATTAACAAGAAGGGGTATTGTTGAAAAGCACAGGTCTAAAATCCTGTTATTAGTATTTGTTATAAGATTGTATTGTGATAAACCAAGGACGCTCAGTTCATCTGCAAAGGCAGCAGCGGCAGTTCTCATTTGTACCGAACTGTTATTTAATATAGAATAACCTTCGTCATTCCATGTCAAGCAAGACAAATTAAAATCGCCTACGAAAACAAAATTATGATCACTATTGACGACGATAATGTCCATTATAGCTTGTCCTATTTTATTAAGAGACAGTGGGTTGTTAGATATATCAGGCGGTATATACACAAGAATAATATGCAAGTCCTCCACAGTACCAAGACTTTGAGATGATGAGAGATATTTTATTAATTAGTTAATTTCCGTCCTGGTTCTATAACCATTTCGTCTATACGAAACATGGTTTTGTTAAAAGTTTTAACTTATTTATACAGATAAGTAAAATTGGAGTGCCTGTAATATTAAAATAACCGATTTTTACTACATACATATGAATACACATACTTAAATAAAATCTTATAAAGTTTTTGTCTGTCTGCCTGTTTGTAGTAGTTAATCTCTGGAATTCTCTGGAATCTGGTACTGAGTAAATTAGGCTACTGTTATTTTGGAAAATTTAAAAAGAAACTATGTTCTTGGATTCATATTTTACGCGAACGAAGTGGTGGGCTACTATGCTATATATATATATCTATTTTTCTTTCTGTAATAGGAAAGTACAAAAAAATCACACTAATATTATAAATGTGGAACTTTCTTTGTCTGGACGTTTGTCAGTCAATCACGCTGTAACTACTGAACGGATTTTGATGAAATTTGGTATACAGGCAGGGTATGGGCTGATTTAGGTGACAGGATACTTGTATCTCGATTAAATTCTCCCATGGAATAAAACAGGAATATACGCGGGCAAAGCAAAATATATATATATGGCGTTGGACAATCTGTTATGAGTTAGCATAGACATCCATTAACGAGATTTTTCCATTGTCATGATAATGTTAATATTGTGTTAAAATTATGTTATCAGGTTTGATGAATGGTATCACAAGATAATTTTTATCACGAT